CTTTCCAAACCTCCCAATTATTAAACAATACTCCTCTCTCCTCACCTCTCTGTTCCTAAACTATACTCCTCTCTCCTCACCTCTCTGTTCCTAAACTATACTCCTCTCTCCTCACCTCTCTGTTCCTAAACTATACTCCTCTCTCCTCACCTCTGTGTTCCTAAACTATACTCCTCTCTCCTCACCTCTCTATTCCTAAACTATACTCCTCTCTCCTCACATCTCTGTTCCTAAACTATACTCCTCTCTCCTCACATCTCTGTTCCTAAACTATACTCCTCTCTCCTCACATCTCTGTTCCTCAAACTATACTCCTCTCTCCTCACCTCTCTGTTCCTAAACTATACTCCTCTCTCCTCACCTCTCTGTTCCTCAACTATACTCCTCTCTCCTCACCTCTCTGTTCCTCAACTATACTCCTCTCTCCTCACCTTTCTGTTGCTAAACTATACTCATCTCTCCTCACCGCTCTGTTCCTAAACTATACTTCTCTCTCCTCACCTCTCTGTTCCAAAACTTTACTTCTTTCCTCAACTTTCTACTCTTTCCAAACCTCCCAATTATTAAACAATACTCCTCTCTCCTCACCTCTCTGTTCCTAAACTATACTCCTCTCTCCAACTCTCTGTTCCTAAACTATACTCCTCTCTCTTCACCTCTCTGTTCCAAAATTTTACTTCTTTCCTCAACCTTCTACTCTTTCCAGACCTCCCAATTACTAAACAATATTCATCTCCCCTCACCTCTCTTTTCCTCAACAATACTCCTTTTTCCTCAACTCTCTATTCCTAATCTATACTCCTCTCTCCTCACCTCTCTATTCCTAAACTATACTCCTCTCTCCTCACCTCTCTGTTCCTACACTATACTCCTCTCTCTCCTCACCTCTCTGTTCCTAAACTATACTCCTCTCTCCTCACCTCTCTGTTCCTAAACTATACTCCTCTCCTCCTCACCTCTCTGTTCCTCAACTATACTCCTCTCTCCTCACCTCTCTGTTCCTCAACTGTACTCCTCTCTCCTCACCTCTCTGTTCCTCAACTGTACTCCTCTCTCCTCACCTCTCTGTTCCTCAACTATACTCCTCTCTCCTCACCTCTCTGTTCCTAAACTGTACTCCTCTCTCTTCACCTCTCTGTTCCTAAACTGTACTCCTCTCTCCTCACCTCTCTGTTCCTCAACTATACTCCTCTCTCCTCACCTTTCTGTTCCTCAACTATACTCCTCTCTCCTCACCTCTCTGTTCCTAAACTATACTCCTCTCTCCTCACATCTCTGTTCCTAAACTATACTCCTCTCTCCTCACATCTCTGTTCCTAAACTGTACTCCTCTCTCCTCACCTCTCTGTTCCTAAACTATACTCCTCTCTCCTCACATCTCTGTTCCTAAACTGTACTCCTCTCTCCTCACCTCTCTGTTCCTCAACTATACTCCTCTCTCCTCACATCTCTGTTCCTAAACTATACTCCTCTCTCCCCACCTTTCTGTTCCTAAACTATACTCCTCTCTCCTCACATCTCTGTTCCTAAACTATACTCCTCTCTCCTCACCTCTCTGTTCCTAAACTATACTCCTCTCTCCTCACCTCTCTGTTCCTAAACTATACTCCTCTCTCCTCACCTCTCTGTTCCTAAACTATACTCCTCTCTCCTCACCTCTCTGTTCCTCAACTATACTCCTCTCTCCTCACATCTCTGTTCCTAAACTGTACTCCTCTCTCCTCACCTCTCTGTTCCTCAACTATACTCCTCTCTCCTCACATCTCTGTTCCTAAACTATACTCCTCTCTCCTCACCTTTCTGTTCCTAAACTATACTCCTCTCTCCTCACATCTCTGTTCCTAAACTATACTCCTCTCTCCTCACCTCTCTGTTCCTAAACTATACTCCTCTCTCCTCACCTCTCTGTTCCTAAACTATACTCCTCTCTCCTCACCTCTCTATTCCTAAACTATACTCCTCTCTCCTCACCTCTCTGTTCCTAAACTATACTCCTCTCTCCTCACCTCTCTGTTCCAAAACTTTACTTCTTTCCTCAACATTCTACTCTTTCCAAACCTCCCAATTATTAAACAATACTCATCTCCCCTCACCTCTCTATTCCTAAACTAAACTCCTCTCTCCTCATCTCTCTATTCCTCAACTATACTGTGTCTTCTCATCTCTCTATTGCCTATACTCCTCTCTCCCCCAACCTCACAATTAGTAAATATTACTCCTCTCTTTTCAACTTGCTATTACTAAACCATACTTCTCTTTCCTATGTTTTTGGTTAGGCATAGGCTAAGAGGCTGGGGAGACCGACACCTCTATTGCTGGCTAAATCCAGAAACCAAACCAATTGAACAATCTTTAACACCCTTATTGATTGTATCTCAGTCGGTGCCAGGTGCCTCATAAACCGTCATCCACTAAAGCTGCTGTCATGTGATGTCTATGGGTACCTCTGTCTTTCTAAGAGCTGTCCATTTTAAATGGCCACATGAACATACCCTTACACGCCATAACTTCTTTCAGCTGTAATTGTGTTCCAAACATCCAAAGCACAAAGTATTAATATAGAAGGAGACTTGATGGCTGTGGGGCAAGAGGGGTAGCTGATGACGGACCTTCCTCCAAGTTCCCCAAAAACTTGCTGGGTGCCAAGTCTGGGTTACATGCGAGGACTACCCCAGGGTGGGTTCTTCTGGGCTACAATAAGCACCTGTACACATGGGGTGCCTTTACTCTCATGCCGTTTTCATCAATGCACTGGGACAAAGCTGAGGTTGCCATCAGGGAATAATCGACCTTAAGGCGGGCCTCTACTCTTAAAGATGAACGTACACCATATACACGTGCACAACTGTTCTCCAGTTAACTCTTGGGTCCCCATGTAAATGTGCATCTTCCCACTGTAGCTTGCAATTAGGTGGGCTGTGCCAAAAACACTGACTACAACCTGTCCAGCATTCTCACACTACTGGTCCTCATACTAGCATGGAACCCCGCCGTGCACGCAACTGTAACTCTTGACATTTCGTACCTCTGTTTAGGATGGAAACCTCTGAGGTGCAGCTCCACTCTGGTTGATATAGAAGCGGAATGCGGAGTAGGGAGTGCCGACATTTCCCTCACATCTAGTGGTTGGTCCACCTATTTCGGGTACACTTTTCGAGCAGGCTTCTTGTTGACTGTACCTTTGTGGCCTATGGCAACCACATGTATAAACTTATACTAGGATGACTCTTTACGTGCCAACTCTTCATATCCCATGTGCGAGTGACCTAAACCTTAGACCATAGGTGTGGGTTACTTCTGTTGCACTCCTTTAAAGAACTTCAAACCAGGCAGAAGGCAATATTTTAAATGCTTTACTGAATAAAGTGCGAAAAAGGAAAAAGAGCTGTTCTTTTGCTGGACTTTGTACTAAGTCCTTAATCCTACACAGGCTATGTGCTGTCCCAGCATACCTGCAAAGGTAGAGTCCATGGAAATATAGATTCATTAGTGGCAATCCCCAGTGGCTGCTGTCTTCGGGGAAAACCCCAAGTTGGAAGGCTCTCACATCTTTCGGGCTCCTTAGTGGCTGTATCCCTCATGGAACATGGCTAATGGACTAGCAGCAAGGCTCTCGAACTCCTGCAGGGGAATGTTTCTCTTCTCTAGACCACTGTCTTTCTTTTATAAATACAATAAATATATATAAGCTGAAATATCAACTTACATCCCCACGCTTAAATAATGGTGAAGGATAAAATAACAAAACTGCATTGATAAGATCATATATACTATAACAAAGCAGCCATTTTGAATAATAATATGCAAATAGATGAGTAGATTAAACCGTCCTCATAAACAGCGCTCAGTTATCAAATTACCCTAAAACATTAGGATCCTATGTACACAGATATCATATGGAGAATGGAAAGGAAAGCAAGACGTCCAAACACCAAAGTGTACAAATGTGAAGAAAGTTCAGTTCACTTGATCGATGTAATATTCCTTTAAGACAGTCCAATACATCATCATTGTGATCCTGCAGTGATTAACATCCAGGGGCGGACTGACAACTCATGGGGCCCCCCGGGCAATAGGGGATCATGGGGCCCCTGTGTCCTTGCCCAAACTAAAAAAAAACAATGAAAAAGGTACCAGGGCATCTCATGGGGCCCCCTACTGGCCCCGGGAATCGGGCAGTGCCCGAGTTTCCAAATGGTCAGTGGAGGTGGCACGGGCAGGGGGGAATACAAAGAGCTCAGTTTTGGAGAGGTTGAGTTTGAGGAAGTGGAGTGATCATAATAGTTTTCCCTCTTTTATTGTCCTTATTTCTTCTTCACTCAGTTCTTTTATCCTCTTCCTTTGTCTGCCTGGGTTCCCCAGATGACTTGTCAGATCAAAATTGTAGGGATTAGCATTTTTTTCGTAGTACCTTCCTATACGGGTTACTGCGGCAGATCATGGAGTCTTCAAAGGGCTGAGCACATAGTCTATAGTGCTTGTTGAGCTGATGGGGGTTTTATCTTCTATATCAGACTGATGACAGTTCTCAACCCACTTCTGGCATATGTCGGGGTCCCGCGGAAAGCGGAAGAAGGCCAGGTCAGACTGCTGTTGCGGGTGCAATTGGGGGCAGACCAGGGGCGGGCTGACAACTCATGGGGCCCCCGGGAAACAGGGGATCATGGGACCCCTGTGTCCTTGCCCAAACTCAAAAAAGCCTATGAAAAAGGTACCTGGGGCATCTCATGGGGCCCCCTACTGACCCCGGCACTGCCCGAGTTTCCAAATGGTCAGTCCGCCCCTGGGGCGGACTTCTTTTATATTACATGCTCAGTGGGTCAGACTTAGAGATAACCCGCCAAAAAAACAAAAAAGAACCGGGAAGGGCATTAACCCCTACTCTCCCGTCCAGGGCAGCACCTAACTAGCTAGTTCTAATCTGCTTACAGGTTCTATTTGATTGGTGCTGGTCCAGTTGAGGGCATTTAGGTTCCTTTTGGCCCACCTCACCATAACTTGAGGGCAGGGGCGGACTGACCATAGGAGCACTCGGGCACTGCCCGAGGGCCCGGGGTCAGTAGAGGGCCCCATGACATGCCCCTGGTACCTTTCATTGGCTTTTTCATAGGCTTTTTTGGGTGTGGGCGAGGACACAGGGGCCCCATGATCCCCTATTGCCCAGGGGCCCCATGAGTTGTCAGTCCACCCCCTGTTTAAGGGGTTATATTATTAACCAATCAAAGGAGAGCCAGAGGTATGAATGTTTCAGAAACATATGTCCACTGTACAGATATACTAGCATATAATATACAGTCTTGTACAGTAAGTACACAGAAAAATTGACATGGTGCATTCATTCTCATAATATAAATGAATGTAAATGCAGATTTGACAAAAAGCCAAAATAAGTACACCCCTACATTTACCACCCCTTTAAAGCCAAGAAAGTACAATCAAATGTTCCAGATTAGGTGACAGTGATGAGAACCTCCTTTAGGGAGTATACCGGTGGAGAGTGTCTTATTTACACCTCAGATACATAGAGTCTGTGTTCTCTGTGATACTGATGTGTGTGATGTCATCATGCAAAAATCAGAAGAATTCTCAATGGCCCTGAGAAAGAAGACTGTTGAAGTCCATCATGAGTCTGGGAAATATATTAAAATGTGATTTCACCAAATTATTTGAAATCAATCATTTCACTGTAGGGAAAAAAATATACAAGTTGTATATATATCGAACAACTCCTAATTTGTCCAGGATACGCTGGCCCAGCAAATACAGCCTAGGAGCTCATGGTGGAAGCTAAAAGAAGTCTCAACTAACCTCAGAATTTTATTAGAAGATCTGTAGATAACCTTTACGATACCCCTTGCAACAGTTGGTGTCAACATACATATATCTTCAAACACAAAGAGGTTGTACCAATTTAACCTGCATAAAAGGTGTGCAACAACACAGCCTTTGCTGTCCAAAAAAGTACATTAGTTTGCTATTAAACTATATGGGGAAAGACCAGACCTTCTGGAACAATGTGCTGTGTACTGATGAATCAGACAGAGTTGTATAGCATTAACAGTGCACATGTTTGGCACAAACTGAGGACAACAGTTTAGGACAGTGGTCTCCAAACTACAGCCCAGGGCCCAAATGCAGCCCTTTGCTTTTATCTGGCCCTTGGGGCACTATTTTATTCTCTGACACTATCAAGGGGGCACAATTCCTTCCAATTACACCAATGATGGGGCACAGCTCCTGCCAATGACAACAATGAGGCCCAGTTACACCAATGATGGGGTACAATTCCTCCCAATGAGACCAGTGGTGGGGCACAATTCCTCCCAATGGAACCAATGATGGGGCAATATTCCTACCGATGACATCAATGATAGGGCACTATTCCTATCGATGATACCAATGATGGGGCACTATTCCTACCAATGATACCAATGATGGGGCACTATTCCTACCGATGACATCAATGATGGGGCACTACTCCTACCGATGACATCAATGATGGGGCGCTATTCCTACCGATGACATCAATGATGGGGCACAGTTCCTCCCAATGACAACAATTGGGCCCAATTACACCAATGATGGGGCACAATTCCTCCCAATGAGACCAGTGGTGGGGCACAATTGCTCCCAATGAAACCAATGATGGGGCATTATTCCTACCGATGGCATTAATGATAGGGCACTATTCCTATCGATGATACCAATGATGGGGCACTATTCCTATCGATGATACCAATGATGGGGCACTATTCCTATCGATGACATCAATGATGGGGCACTATTCCTATCGATGATACCAATGATGGGGCACTATTCCTACCGATGACATCAATGATGGGGCACTATTCCTATCGATGATACCAATGATGGGGCACTATTCCTACCGATGATACCAATGATGGGGCACTATTCCTACCGATGACATCAATGATGGGGCACTATCCATACCGATGACCTTAATGATGGGGCACTATTCCTACCGATGACCTCAATGATGGGGCACTATTCCTACCGATGACATCAATGATGGGGCACTATTCTTATCGATGACATCAATGATGGGGCACTATTCCTATCGATTACATCAATGATGGGGCACAGTTCCTCCCAATGACAACATTGGGGCCCAATTACACCAATGATGGGGCACAATTCCTCCCAATGAGACCAGTGGTGGGGCACAATTCCTCCCAATGAAACCAATGATGGGGCATTATTCCTACCGATGACATCAATGATAGGGCACTATTCCTATCGATGATACCAATGATGGGGCACTATTCCTACCGATGACATCAATGATGGGACACTATTCCTATCGATGATACCAATGATGGGGCACTATTCCTATCGATGATACCAATGATGGGGCACTATTCCTACCGATGACATCAATGATGGGGCACTATTCCTATCGATGATACCAATGATGGGGCACTATTCCTAACGATGACATCAATGATGGGGCACTATTCCTATCGATGATACCAATGATGGGGCACTATTCCTACCGATGATACCAATGATGGGGCACTATTCCTACCGATGACATCAATGATGGGGCACTATCCATACCGATGACCTTAATGATGGGGCACTATTCCTACCGATGACCTCAATGATGGGGCACTATTCCTATCGATGACATCATGATGGGGCACTATTCCTATCGATGACATCTATGATGGGGCACTATTCCTATCGATGACATCTATGATGGGGCACTATTCCTATCGATGACATCTATGATGGGGCACTATTCCTATCGATTACATCAATGATGGGGCACAGTTCCTCCCAATGACAACATTGGGGCCCAATTACACCAATGATGGGGCACAATTCCTCCCAATGAGACCACTGGTGGGGCACAATTCCTCCCAATGAAACCAATGATGGGGCATTATTCCTACCGATGACATCAATGATAGGGCACTATTCCTATCGATGATACCAATGATGGGGCACTATTCCTACCGATGACATCAATGATGGGGCACTATTGCTACCGATGACATCAATGATGGGGCACAATTCCTCCCAATGACAACAATGGGGCCCAATTACACCAATGATGGGGCACAATTCCTCCCAATGAGACCACTGGTGGGGCACAATTCCTCCCAATGAGACCACTGGTGGGGCACAATTCCTCCCAATGAAACCAATGATGGGCACTATTCCTACCGATGTCATCAATGATAGGGGCACTATTCCTACCAATGATACCAATGATGGGGCACTATTCCTACCGATGACATCAATGATGGGGCACTATTCCTACCAATGACATCAATGATGGGGCACTATTCCTACTGATGATACCAACAATTGGGTGCATTGACACCAATGATGAGGAACAATTCCTCCCACTGACCCCAAAGATGAGGCATTATTTACTCCAACTAATTCCAGGATATTTTCTACTCTCGATGGCCAGAGTGTGGCCCCACCAAAGTCTGCAGAACAGTAAACTGGCTTAGGACCCCTGGTTTAGGAGAAGAACCTCATACCAGCTCTGAAGCATGGTGGTGGATGAGTTATAGTTGGGGCTGATTTGCAGCTTCAGGGTCTGGACAGCTTGCAATTATTGAGTCAACTTTGATTTCTGCATCATATCAGAGTGTGCTTGATAAGAATGTGAGGCCATCTGAATGAAAGTTGATGTTGAATCAAGAATGGATCTTTAAGCACGATAATGATCTGAAACACAGTAGCGAATCCACCAGAAATGTTTCAGAAATAACAAATGGAGGGTAATGGACTACCTAGTCAAAACCCTGACTTAAATCCCATTGAAACATTGTGAGGGATTTGAAACACGCAGTTCATGCAAGGAAAACCCACAAACATACTGCAACTGAAGAAATTTTGCATACAAGAATGGTCAAACATTTCACCGAGTCAATGTCAGGGAATGACTGGTGGGCAGGTGTGCAATTTGCCTAGACAAAGTAATAAATTCAAGTGCCTGGTTAATATCCTTTGAGATGTACCAAAGTTGCTGCCATTGCCTAATCTGTTCTTACCTTTTTTCACGGGCTCTTTGATCTTTTGTGCCACCTCAACTGGTCCCCTTATCTGTATTTGCTTTGTCCCCACTTTGTTTTCTGTATGTACCCCTCCTCCCTTTTTAATTTTTTGTTATTTTGTATGTCCTATTTTATGAGCACACGTTTTCTGTTTTACATTTTGTAGGTTTAAAAACTTCAACAAATTTAGATTGAACACAAAAAGTAGTTACTGCTAGAGGGGACAATACCAGCTTCTGAGGCCAATTGTGCACGTAACATTTTTCACAGAATACCATTACATCTATTTGATATTTTGGTTGAATAAACTATTGAAAAAGGCAAATTTTCCTTGTGTTTTCATTCAAGTATTTCACCTTTGAATGAAGATCTACTGTAATGTTTGCAAGTTCAAATATGTTGCAAAATCAACCATTTCTATGGGTGTACTTACTTTTTCATGGGATTGTATGGGGATAAGACACAAATGTTAAAATGACTGCGATTTTTGTGTTGCCTAGGGCAGCACAAGACCTAAATACACCACTGCCAGTGGACCAATGTTTTTATCGGACAGGACCAGATCGGATGTCGGCGGGTGTCAACAGACACATGTCTGTTGACATCCACCACTCCATTGCGGGCAATAGAGGATTCGATTGGGTCTACCTTCCAGTTTTTTAGGACCCTCTATTGCCCACTATGGAGTGGCGAATGTCAACAGACATGTGCACGTTGTTTGGAGTCTGCCCTGTATGAAAGGGGCCTTAGGCCAAATTCACACTGGCCTACCAATCTGTAGATCTGTGTGAAGGGTCGTTTCTATCTGCACAGGATGCACAGGCGTTCAATGCAGCCCCATGGAGGTAGTCCAGGGCTGTCCAAACTATGGCCCTCCAGCTGTTGAAGTACTACATGTTCCATCATGCCTCTGCCTCTCGGGGTCTTGCCTGTGGATGTACGAGTCTTGCAAGGCCTCATGAGACTTGCAGTTCCTCAACACCTGTAGGACCTGTAGAGACCCCTGAGGTAGTCTGTTCAAATGAATGACAGGCAGATTACTGCACAGACCTGCATGGGTCACCAAGAGCATGCTAGAGCTCACATCTGTGACAGTCTGATGCATGGATCAGAGAGCAGAATAGGGGGGATTTACTAAAACTGGTGTGGACAGAACACAGTGGGGGAGATTTACTAAAACTGGTGCGCACAGAACACAGTGGGGGAGATTTACTAACAACACTGGTGCGCACAGAACACAGTGGGGGAGATTTACTAAAACTGGTGCGCACAGAACACAGTGGGGGAGATTTTCTAAAAGTGGTGCGCACAGAACACAGTGGGGGAGATTTGCTAAAATTGGTGCGCACAGAACACAGTGGGGGAGATTTGCTAAAATTGGTGCGCACAGAACACAGTGGGGGAGATTTAGTAAAACTGGTGCGCACAAAACACAGTGGGGGAGATTTACTAAAACTGGTGCGCACAGAACACAGTGGGGGAGATTTACTAAAACTGGTGCGCACAGAACACAGTGGGGGAGATTTACTAAAACTGGTGCACACAAAACACAGTGGGGGAGATTTACTCAAACTGGTGCATACAGAACACAGTGGGGGAGATTTACTAAAACTGGTGCGCACAGAACAATGTGGGGGGAGATTTGCTAAAATTGGTGCGCACAGAACACAGTGGGGGAGATTTGCTAAAAGTGGTGCACACAGAACACAGTGGGGGAGATTTACTAAAAGTGGTGCACAGAACACAGTGGGGGAGATTTACTAAAACTGGCGCACACAGAACACAGTGGGGGAGATTTACTAAAACTGGCGCACACAGAACACAGTGGGGGAGATTTACTAAAACTGGCGCACACAGAACACAGTGGGGGAGATTTACTAAAACTGGCGCACACAGAACACAGTGGGGGAGATTTACTCAAACTGGTGCGCACAGAACACAGTGGGGGAGATTTAGTAAAAAACTGGTGCACACAGAACACAGTGGGGGAGATTTGCTAAAAGTGGTGCACAGAACACAGTGGGGGAGATTTGCTAAAAGTGGTGCACAGAACACAGTGGGGGAGATTTAGTAAAACTGGTGCGCACAGAACACAGTGGGGGAGATTTACTAAAACTGGTGCACACAGAACACAGTGGGGGAGATTTAGTAAAATTGGTGCACACAGAACACAGTGGGGGAGATTTACTAAAACTGGTGCACACAGAACACAGTGGGGGAGATTTACTAAAACTGGTGCACACAGAACACAGTGGGGGAGATTTACTAAAACTGGTGCACACAGAATCTGGTGCAGATGTGTATAGTAACCAATCAGCTTCAAGGTTTTATTGTGAAAGCTTAAATGAACAAGCTGAAGTTAGAAGCTGATTGGTTACTATGCACAGCTGGACCATTATGTGTGCACCAGTTTTAGTAAATCTCCCCCACTGTGTCCTGATCTGTTCATCGGACCAGGGGCGGACTGGCAAACTCATGGGGCCCCCGGGCAATAGGGGATCATGGGGCCCTGTGTCCTTGCCCAAACTCAAAAAAGCCTATGAAAAAGGTACCAGGGGCATCTCATGGGGCCCACTACTGCCCAAATGGTCAGTTCGCCCCTGCATCGAACCTACATGGAGGTGCAGTTAGGGATGCACTTGGAGATCAAGAGGGTCAGTGATGGTCTGGGCAGGCATATCCATGGAGGGGCACACTGAGATGCACTTGTCGCATGACAAGTCAAAACACATTAATTTCAATAGGTGCCGTCTTAATCAATGCGACTCAAGTCGCCCAGGGGCGGACTGACCATTTGGAAACTCGGCACTGCCCGAGGGCCCAGGGGTCAGTAGGGGGCCCCATGAGATACCCCTGGTACCTTTTTCATAGGCTTTTTTGAGTTTGGGCAAGGACACAGGGGCCCCATGATCCCCTATTGCCCGGGGGCCCCATGAGTTGTCAGTCCGCCCCTGAAGTCGCTCAACAAGAAAAGGTCCCTGCACTACTTTTCTGCAACTTTGGTGCAACTTGAGTGCCATAGACTGAAATGTTAAATTACAAAAGTTTCAAGCAAGTTGCAAGCAAGTCGCACGATTCTGGGTTTGCAGCAGTGTGAACTGAGCCTTAGTTTGGTCTGAGAACTGTGTATCATAAAAATTGCCATTTAATAAAATACTTGTTTTCACAAATTTTTTTTCCATGCTTTGTTGCATCTCAGTTCTGCTGATCTCCCGCATCCTCTTTGCCATCACGTCTTGTCTGTACGCACTCCATCGATGGCTGCATAGCATATCTCAGGATGGGGTTTCCAGAGGGTGACAACAGTGGACCATGTTTGTTTATTGTGTGCTAAAACAGCCTCTTGCAGTCTCCAATGGGAAGCCTGTGTGACAACACTGGAGAAGAAATGAGAGGCAGGAACAAAGTGTGGTCACTCCATAGCAAGAAGTGTCTGAACAAGGACCTTCATGGCAGCTTCACCAGGCATTACTTTAACAAAAACATCAAATTTCAAAATATTAAATATGACTTTTGAACTTTAATTAATGTATTAAAGCTTTTATGAGATTTTATTACCTGGGATTACGTCTAGTTGAAGCCAAATCAGGTGAGATTAGAATAAACAAAACAGGAGTGCTGGAATAGTACAAATTAACTAGGTGGAGCCCCTAAATATTCACAATACAGAACAGATGACACAGGTGATGAGAGAATGACAGAACAGCCCTGACAGGGAAAGCATGCCAGAACCTTAGATAATAAAGTGCAACACACATCTGACTTGTGACAACACTCCTGATTTTTAACCACTTGCCCTCCTGAGGATTTACCCCCCCCCCCCCCCCTTTCTGATCAGGCCATTTTTTGTGTTACAGCGCTGCTTTAATTTAACTGACAATTGCGCGGTCATGCAGCGCTGCACCCAAATTAAATTTATGTCCTCTTTTCCCACAAATGGAGCTTTTTTTTTTGTGGTATTTGATCGCCTGTGTGTTTTTTATTTTTTGCGCTATAAACAAAGACCGACAATTTTGAGAAAAAAAAAAATATTTTGGACTTTTTGCTATTAAACATGCACAGTAAAAAAATTTAAAAAGTCAAATTTCATCATAAATTTAGGCCAAAATATATTCTGCTCCATGTCTTTGCTAAAAAAAAATCCCAATACGTGTACATTAATTGGTTAAGTGAAAGTTATAGCGTCTAAAAATGGCAGTATAGATACTGGGATTTTTTTTATTCTAGTAATGGTGGCGATCAACGACTTCTAGTGGGACTGCAGTGGGCATTCTGATACTGGGGGAGAACTAACTGCCACTGACATCCCCAATGACACTAATACAATGATCAGTGCTAATAAGAAGCACCAGCACTGTACAAATGACACTGGGCAGGAAGGGGTTAACATCTGGGGTCATCAAGGGGTTAACTGTGTGATATTTTACTCTGTGCATCTTTCACTGTGTCGGCACATTGCTTTGTATGGCTCAGCTAGCGACCGATTGGGGCATGTCCAGCACTGGCTCCGCCTTTTTCTACATAGCTGAAGCCAATCAATAGGTAGGGGTGTGCTCTGGTTTCAAGGTTAATCCCATGTGAGTAGGATGATCGGGGCACGATGTGTATGAGAGGGAAGCGGTGTAGTGCTGGAAGGTTGCCTCTCCTCAGAGAGCCACAGCCTGGACTCCACACCCCTGCAGCAGCCATCATAGGTGAGCTGAGCCTAGGAGGATGGTGGGTTAAGGAGGTGATGGTAGGAGGAGGGGAGCGGACAATGGTTGGGGTGTGGGGATCAGATGCTGATTGACCATGTGGGAAGCCGCCAAGCCATAAATGATCCTTCAGCTGATGGGAGGGGCAGCAGAGGGGAGGAAGAAAGGACAGAAGAAGATGCTGGGTGTCTGGGGCCAGTGCAGCAGCTAAGCTGCAGCTCCTTCCAGTGTTCCTCTCAGACTCAGTCCCTTACTACTGGAGTTTTGTAACTCTGACTTTATTTTCTCTGTCTGATTGGTTAATTTATATTTAGTTAATATATATCTTGTCTTTAATATCGGTGCTGGTGGCATCTTATGACTTATTCTTGCAAATTAAAAGAAATTTAACAGTTTCATATCTTGTTGATTTAATTTTTTTCTACTGTTTTAAAAAATGTTTTTTTTTTTTTTTTTTTTTTGGGGGGGGGGGGGGGGGGGCGCAAGCTGGTCTTGCCTAGGGCACAAAATAGTCCAGGACTGGCCCTGCCTCCCAAAGGTAATCGCTGGGGAATCCTACTGGGGTTCTTTTCTTACATGTGATCGGTTTCAGGCACATTTGCAGGTGTGAATGTAGCCTAACATAGTAAGGTTCCATAAAGTACCCCAGTTTAGAATTTGGCTCCATTCACACTTGTACAAATTCAAAGTTGTGTGACCTTGGTGCAACTTTGGCTGGGTGCTACTTGTATGCCACTTTGCCTTTGACCAATGGTGTTGGACAACTATTGCAAAACTGTCGCATGTATAACATTTAGTTGCAACTTTTATGTGACATTTGAGGGTTTACATTACAGTCTATGGCACTCAAGTCACATCAAAGTCAGACCAAAGTAGTGCAGGAACCTTTTGAAAGTTGCTGCGACTTTAAGTCACAAATATTTGAACAGTTGTCATTGAAAAACATGGGGTGTGACTTGTCATGCAACACTACTGTCCAAAGTCACATGACAAGTCACACAAGTGTGAATGGAGCCTTGAGCTGCTTCTCATATAGCTTAATAGAGTGGCCATATGTCTTTTTCAGAGACCTTAAAGTTTCTTCCTGATACCAGTCACCATTGATAGATTTGTATACTGCATTCGTATCATCTCTTATGAGCCTTTCTCCAGAAAGAATACATACATTTTTTGTAGTCGTTCCTAATAACTGAGGTCCTTCAGCCTTCTTATTAATTTCTGCCTTTCTCTGGAGCCTCTCCAATTCAAACACATCTTTCTTGAAGATTGATGACCAGAACTGAATTTCACACTTATATTGTGGCTGAACCAGAGTAAATAACCTTTGTAATGCATAATAGTCTGCTGGCCTTGACTGCTGCAGCTTGGCATTGCATGCTATTGCTAAGTTTGTGATTTAATAGGACCTCCAGAACTTTTTGCATCCTCGATTTCCCCAGAGGTTCTCCCCCTACGTGATAAGTTGCACACCTAGGGATAGACTTAGTAAAACTGGTGCACTCAGAATCTGGTGCAGCTGTGCATGGAAGCCAATCAACTTCACACTTTAGCCTGTTCACTTACGCTTTGACAATAAAACCTGGAAGCTGAGAGTTTTCTATGCAGAACTGCACCAGATTTTGCTCCAGTTTTAATAAATAACCCCCATAGTTTCAGCACCCAAGTGCATTACTTTACATTTCCCAAAATTAAACCTCATCTGCCATGTAGTTACCCACTCCTCTATTTAATGAAGGTCTTCTCATATAGTTACTATACCTGTGATGAAGTTATCGCTGAGCATTGCTTGGTGTCATCAGAACATGGAGATTGAACTATTTATCCCAACTTCTGTATCAATTAAAAAGACATTAAACAGAAATGACCCCAGGACAGAGCCTCGGTGTACACCAGTCACAACTCCAGACCATTTAGAAAATGAGCCATTTATCAACACTCTCTGTACAGGATCCTATAACCAGTTTTTGAGCCATGTACTGGCACTTTCTTCAATGCTAATAGACCTTAATATGTAAACTAAGTGCTTGTGGGGACATCAATATAGACATAGTTTGACCAGTTTGGTGTGGAGGAATTGGAGTGTCCTGCACGGAGCCGACTTCCACCCTACTGAACACTTTTGGGATGGGTTGGAACACGGGTTGTGAGCCAGATCTTCTCATCAAGCATAAGTATCTGACATCACAAGTGTTCTATTGGTTAAAAGAGCACACGTTCCCACAGTCACCCTCCAAAATCCTGTGGAAATCCTTTTAGAAGTCTGGAGGCGTGTGACTGAAAAGGGACGCAACTTAAAATGAATGTCCATGGTTTTGAAATGAGATGTCCAACAATCTCATATAGGTGTGGTGATGAGGTGTCCACAATCGTTCGGCTACACAGTACTGTCAAAAAGTATTTGCCCTATTCCTGATTTTGTTTTTGCAAATTTGTCACACTAAAATGATTCAGATCATCAAACAAATGTTAACAATACAGAAATATAACCCAAGTATTTACAAAATACAGTTTTTAGATAATGACTTCATTTATTAAGGGAAAAAAAACAGTCAAAACCTGCCTGACTATGTGAAAAAGCAATTGTCCCCTAAACCTAATAATTGCAGTTGTTGCTGCCAAAGACGACACAACCAATCAAGTGTTTGCGATAACTGGCAACGAGCCTTTCACATTACTCTGGAAGAATTTCGGGACACTCTTTGCAGAATTGTTTTATTCAGCCACACTGAAGGGTTTTTGAGTATGAACAGCCTGTTTAAGGTCATGCCCAGGGGCAGACTGACAACTCATGGGGCCCCTGGGAAATAGGGGATCATGGGGCCTCTGTGTCCTTGCCCAAACTCAAAAAAGCCTATGAAAAAGGTACCAGGGGCATCTCATGGGACTCCCTACTGACCCCGGGCCCTCGGGCAGTGCCCGAGTTTCCAAATGGTCAGTCCGCCCCTGGTCATGCCACAGCATCTCAATACAATTTTGGTCCGGACTTTGACTAGGCCACTCCAATACCTTAATTTTGTCTGATGGCCGGACATTCTCCTTCAGGAGTTTCTGATAGAGAGCAGAATTTATGGTTCCATCAATTATGAAAAACTGATGGTCTGGAGCTGATTTACAGCTTCAGGACCTGGATGTAGTACCACAACGTTTGACTGTAATCAGGCCTGAGTTTGTTGAGTGAAATTTAACTCAGCTTTCCAAAAATTGGTGGCCTAGTCAAAGTCCTGACTTAAATCCGATTGA